CAAAACATCCTCCTTACCGAACCTGAGCCTCAGCAAAATATCCCCAGACGAAGTTCTGTACCCTCCGTACATATACCAGTAAGCAAGCACACGGGGCGTGAGCCACCGGTGTATTAGCTTCGGAATAACCGGCATTTTCCCGGGCCAAAAACGATCCGCGTAAAATTTAAAATACGAGTGAGTTACGGTCACGAAATGGTAAGGAATACCTTCACGAAGGTGACTGGCACGCGCCTCACGAGGTAACCACTCGTGAAATTTGTTGTGTACGTTTCTCCTCAAAACGGAATGGATTTTCGAATCCTCTCTGAATACAAAATCGACCGCGTAGTAATTTCTTTTTTTATCCTCCTCGTGTGTTTCAAATCTCAAGCCGCCTAAAATCATTCCTATAAGGATTTCTCTTTGTTCTATGCTCAGCTTCAAGACTGGTATCGATTTTTCGACTTCTTCCTGGCTCAAACTCAGGACATGCTCGAGCTTCTCGTTCAAAGAAGTTTCAACGGCGTATTTATTTTCGCACATGAAATCGTACATCAATTTTACCTTCGCGTATTGGTTGCTCGAGAGGTAGGCCTTTAATATTGCGTTGCATGACCTGGCATTGATGCCGATTGCCTCGTCAGCATGCATTTGGTTGAAGGTTAGTTCTGCCCGGTCGAGATCTCCACTGTCGACTAAAGAATCTAAGTAAAGATTGTAAGCAGTCTTATTCGGGCGGGATTTTTCGAGGCACCACAGGAAAGTGGACCCCACTTTATCGTGCGAGCCTGAATCAGCATACGCGAGCATTATGTCGATAAAAGATCGCATCACGGGCCTCAAGCCGCTGTCTATGAACTCGGACATGAGGGACTCTGCTAGATCCATATTCCGAGCTCGACAGAAAATCTCGATGATTTTGTTGTACGACGCGACACCTGGCGGATACATTTCTCGAGATTTACGAAATATTTCGAGGGATTTCATCGGCGAACCAGTTATGGAATAAACTTCCATCAGATATAAAAAAGCGTGAATCGGGGGTTTGTTTTTGGAAGAAGAAAGAATCTTTTTCCAAATTCTATCGGCTTCTTCAAGATCGCCTTCCTTAGCGCAAGCTCTTAAAACCGAGACGAGCACTTCTGTACTCTCTTTAATTCCCAACGATTTCATTTCGGCTCTTAGCAATGCGATTCTTTCTCTGTCGATCACGTCTTGATAACTGTGGAGCCATATAAGCCCTCCGTAAATATCATTGTGCACTTTAAGTCCGCATGCCGTGAGGTAGTGGAAAACGAACTCTGCTTGCTCGAGATGGTTTTTACAAGAGCGCCCGGTTTTGCTGACAAGGGATCTGAAAAGAGAGTTGTGCAGGCTCAGCCGAGGTTTGTACGCGCCTAAGTGGATCATTTGGTTGTAGACTGTACAAGCTTCTTCTATACAGTTTGAAGCGGATGAACTTAGGTAGGCAACAATAAGGATGTGAAATGTGGACTCGTTAGGAACTAAACCTTGGTTAACGATATCGTTAAATATCTCACGGCATTTCGAGTATTTTCGCTCCTTACCCATGTAGTCAGCTAATCGGGAGGCAAGAGCAAAATTGAACTGAAACCAATGTTGCTGCTTCATCCACTTGTACACCTAAAAGTATACAAATAAGCCATGGTCAGGAAAGGAACATAAATTATTTTAGAAAGAGTGTATAAAAAGCAAATAAATTGCAGTTAGATTGAATGAACACAAGCACACACACACAAGGGTCCAACACCAAAATTTTTCCTGTGAAATAAAACAAACACTTCTAAGCATAAATTTTACAAGAACTACTAACTAGATAAACCAGAGGAAGCTAGAAGAACTCATATGGGTGTCTAAAATTATTCATATTGTGTAAATAAACAATACTTTCATCAACCAGTACAATTTCTCTTAGCTACAGAGCAAATTCATAACCCTAACAACCTGTTTTTTTCTTTATGTTAGTTCCAAAATATAGGCAGAGGGACAAAAACTACCCCAGAAATCAACACTCATAAAGGGGAAACGAATTTTTTTTACCCTAAATGCGGCCTCGTTTTCTCGAATCCGCATGCAATGGACCGCAACATAAGTGCAATCGGCTTGTCTAATCCACTTGCGCTGCGCGTTGAGCACCCGGACAAACGTGCCCGACCTGTGCGCCGGAAGCTCCTTGCACAGCCACGCCAACCTAGACCTCCGCCACTGCTCCGGAAGCTCGTCCAGCTCCCTCACCTCCACCGCCGGCGACTCGAACCGCTTCGAATCGGAGAGCTCGAACGATCCGTCGAAGTTGTAATTCTCGTTTTCTCCATCTCCATCTCCCCCGAGCTCAAAATCGCTCTCCTCCGCCTCCTCTTTCGATACTATTGATACGGCGGCGGAAATCTCGGCCGGAGACGATGAAAGGAGCGGAGGCTGGAAACTCCGGCGCGGCCTCGAGGCGAGCGAGATGGTTAAGAGGCGGTGGCGGCGTGGATAGGAACGGTAGTTAAACGAAGGTGTGATTTGGTAATTGCAGTGATGGAAGCTCAGGAGCATTGCTCAGGCGGCGAGTGGGTGGGGATAAACGTCCGGCCACCGCCGTAGGGAGAGTGGTAGTTAATTCGATGTCTAGTGTCTATCCGACTGTGTGTTGTGTTCATCGACCGGATAAACGAGCTATGTTCGGAAAGATATGGCGAATTTTCTATTTGGAAATAATTGTAATTTTAGTGGACAAATTTTAATTGCATCCTTACAAAACTAGTACGTAACCCGTGCGATGCATAAAATTTAAAAGAATAATATAATCTCACGTGCATTAGGATCGAAATTGAAATCATTAAAATACATAGGAACATTGTTGACATTGTTGAATCATAAAACGTTCGGTAACAATCATATATTATTAAAAACTTCCTTCTACACAACATTATGAGTTTGATTATTTGGTAACTCCTCATTATCAAAAACTAATATTTTCAAAAGAGACAAATCCTAAAAATCAAACTAAATATTTTTGGTGAACAAACTAATATTTTAGGATTGGTGAACAAACTAATATTTTAGGATTTCTAGAATTTGTCTCTTTTTGGTGAACAAACTAATATTTTAGGATTAATTATATGAATAAGGCTACCTGTTTTTTGTGTTCTTTTCATTCATTTTCATTCAAACAATCCGATGACTTGTATAATGAAATTCGAATCTTAAGCCGAAATATTTAAAAAAAGAGTTCTTAAAAATTGAAAAGTCAAGGCAATCAGTTCAGATTAATTAAAGGTCAAAGAATATCCGCTCCTTGAAATAAAGACGTGTGCTATCATTAACCAAATATCCGGTTATTGATATAGAGTGTTTACCAAAAAATAGAACGCGATAAGGACTCTTCATGGAAATATCAATGGAATAAGGTTATAACAGATCGTTGTACATTTTAACGATAAAAGCTCATATGGAATGATTTATGATAATTATGTCGTAATTAATGAATTAATTAGATGTGTGAAAATGACATAATTAATGAGAAGTGTGAAAAGGACAAAAATTTACCAGTTTTGGAAAATATTTAATGCAAATTCGACATTGACCATAATTTGACCTACTATTTTGGATAAATGTTAATTCTTATTATATAAGTATAGATACATGATATTTAATTTTAATATCAGTTACTAAAATAAATACATGATTTTTAATTTTAATATCAGTTACTAAAATAAATGCAAGGCTGCCCTTAAATTGCGTAGATTATGGGATTTTTTATTTAACATGAAAGTATATATTTAGTAAGATTATACATCCTACAAATTAAGATGGTGTTTCAATACAAAATAGAAAGAGGAGGAATTTGAATTTCTAACTACATTATATTCCAAATATATACAAACTACACGATCGTGAATATTAGTCCATGTTGATTAACAAACACTGAAAAATATACGAAATCAAACAAGTATTTTTTTTGCTTATTGAATATATACTTAGCATATGGTGAACCAGGGGCAATTGCCCCCCTTCAAACTACATGTGCTAATAGTCAATTTTTTTTTTTTACTATTGATATTAAAAATTTAAATTTGCTCCCCTTTCAATTTATTTTTGCACCCCCAGATTTTTTTTGTTTTTAAACGTCACTCATCAGGCCAACTTGTCCATAATTCATAATTGTCAATTAACAATTCAATACTTCTTTTATTTTACTATTAATTTAGTATATTAATTATTAGCATTCTACAATTTTAATTGGCTCATATAAAAGACTTCAATCCTCTTTTATTGCCTAGGCTAGGACTGGTATTTTTTGACCGAAAAACCGAAAACCGAACCGAACTGAGATGATGAGAAAATAAACCAAACCGAACCGACTTATGTGTAATGGTAACCGAAAATCAGATCGAAATGTTATCGGTTCGGTATCGGTTATGAACCCATTATGTTATGTTTTTTGTTCCCTCTCAACTAATTTTCTGGTTTCGCCCTTGTGGTGAACATAAAACATAGAGTTGAAAGGACAAACTCAACATGTTGATGTTGTGAACTTATACATGATATATACTGAACATTTACATAATATATCATATATTGGACATAAACATATAATTTGTAAAGCAAAAATTAGTCTGTGTCAAGCATACCTTTGTTTAAATGAATATATACTTGTCAGAACATAAAACGTACCATTGAATGGACAAAACAACATATTGTGAACTTATACATATTTATAACCTATACTGAACTTATATACAATATACATATCATATACTGGGACGCGAACTCGATCTCCTGTGAGGAGAATTTCCGGCGCCGCTGTAAGGAGTTCGTCCTATTTTTGTTTTTTGTCATGGTTTGTTTTGCTTGAAGGTTAAGGTTTGCAATTACGGAGAAATATATTGACTTAATGGGTGATACATTTCTCCATAAATTTAGGTAATTAAGGTTTAAATTAGTCAATAATTGATACAATAATTTTTCTAGTACATGTGCAATAAAAACAAGATTTTCGGCTATGTTCTTTCTGTTTTTACTTATTAGTCAATAAAATTACTCAGTCATCCAAAACTGGGTTTTACTTTGACAGACTAGCACATAAAATGAATCACTCAAGTGTACAAGAAATAAGACTGAATAGAACCTCTCTTTCCGTTAAAAAAGTATTTTTACAACATACTCATACACCCCTTGATCAACTATATATATTCATGTATGTGAATAAAAAAAAATGTACATTGATGATACAAACATTAAGAAATAACAAAATATTTACAAAGCCGCTAGCAAAAGGCTAACTCTTTTGTGAGCTTTTTTTAGCATAAGTCATGGACTCTCATCTGTCGAATGCAGAAAGAAACGGAGCCCATGGACTTGATGCTGTTGGGGTTTGTGGCCTTAGCTCAGACAATCTAATTCTCTCATCTGATATTCGATTCTGAACAATACATAAAAAGCAAAAGGAAAAAATAAAAATTATAAAACACTCAGCAGGATATTTGTTAAGGGAGTTAATTATAATTTTGAAAGATAACTAGATTCCTGTGTAATTTCGGATAAACTGAAACGATGTCATCATTTTATAAATATAGAATTCAACTGCCATGAAATATGTATCAAGTGAGAAAAATGGAATTTTTTGTTTACCTTGAGTTTAACATCTTCAAGTTCCATTTCAAGAGAAACTACTCTATTTTTCAGATGCATTAGTGCATCTTCAGCCACAGATAGACTTATCTCTGATGTTGGTCTTGTTATTCCAGCAGCCTGTGTATT